GCTGTTAAGACACTCAATGCCATAATGCATTCTCTAACCTGAACCATCACAACTACATACCTAACCATAACCCTAAAAACAACTCTTGACCCTCAAACAGCCTTTTGAATTTGTGAGGACCAGCAAAATAACCTCACAAGGTCAAAATGTCCTCAAAATAATTGTACTGAACCCAAATTGGCCTTCATTGATCACAACCTAAACCTAATTCTATTAAAACAATGTGTTGGCACTAATACTGAATCTGCAAACTCGAACACGTAAAATTAATGAATATATACAGAAATTAAAGAAAGATATTTGCAAATGTATAACAACTAAAAATTTGAGTGGCTAACCAAAAACAGGAAGTATTTTACTAAAATCAGCTAAAGGCTAAGGGCTAATGGAGGGCTTTGTTGGCATTCATCGGCCAGTGCATTAAAGGGAGGAGTCATCAAGATAATTTGATGCTTTCCAACCTCAGAAATAATTCTTAGCTAGTGTTGGGCAACAAAATCCTGTAGCAATCAAGTACTGTATTAAGCACTGAAACTGTTATTTAGTGTTCAATTATTGTAGATGGGTGAGGTATTATTTATTATGTGTTTTTATGTAGATTTGTGAAGAGTTATTTACATTTGTATATTTAAATTAAGTTGAATTTGCCTTAGCAGTAAAAAAAACCTGTTCTTTTTGTCGGCTGTCATTTTCTGCTTTTTCTAATAAAAAAGTTTTTGTTCTGGCATAGTTTAGGCACCGGGACCATTTTAAAAGTATTGATTTAGAAGTGGTATCAGAAAACCCCCAAATAATCCCCAAAAAATAAAAAATGAGGACCTCACAAAGATATAGTGTATAAAGTGTAAGTACAATAACACACACACATAGATTTGCACAGCTATCCTCAATGGGACTTTTTATTGACTTCTATTCATTGTGGACAGCCTAACCAAAACATTATCCAACTTTAACGATGACCCATTCATGCCAAACCCAAACCTCACCACGAGTCACATCTTACTGCTAACTGAGCTCAGAAGTTTTGACTCATTGGGACAAACTTTTGGTCCCCATGAGTTCTCATGATTCTGACAAAGTCAGTGCTTACACTGGAAAAGGTCTTATAGTGGTAACAATAACGAGTATAGGCAAAAGACCCACATACACACATTAACACCTACTTTCAGATCCACCATCCCATCCCGCATGTGACCTTTTTACAAATCATCTGACTACATCTGTTTAACACTTTTATCAGAGTATTTTTTCCGTTCAAATATTGCAGATTTATTTGCACCACATTTAGACTCTAAAACCAAAAGAATCACTGTGATAATGGGACTGTCATGCTCTGTACTGGATTTACAGCCTCCTCATTTGATCTTAAACGCATCAATTAATGTCATAGCCTGAAATAATTACTTGTTTGTTCTGTGTTTTTTGGCATGATTTTCTTTATTTAATTTACTTGTACAATGATCACTGAAGCCGTTCTTCAGGAGGACAACGCTCCACCCATCATTTGCAGAGCTGTGTGCTGCTGTGTTGCGGAGCACAACAGGTGTGGACATGTGAGCACAGAACCCAGTTGCAGATGTGAGACTGACACACATCATGCCACATAACGAAGTGAAAAGGATAAGGTGAAAGGAGGAGAGTGTTGTTCCTGGGGTTTGTTGTCAATGTGTGTGTTTCTGTAGCTTTCAGACCTCATTAGAGATGAAAGATGTATCACTGCTGACAACCCCCACCTCCTGCTCCTGTTCCCTTTCTTTTCCTTCCCTTTCTCTCTCCCTTACTTCATATGTATTGCATGTATAAATTAATGGATTGGCAAACTGGATGTTGTTTTTATGTATAGGCCACGGAAGCCATTCTTTTTACAGTTTCCTGAAATGCACAGCACCTATTTCTTCGAATGTTGCTCACATTTTATCCCAAGCAAATTGTCTGTGCCTAAATGCACCAGAAGCATTTAGGCAGCAGCCAGTCCTCTGAGGCACAAGTGTACTTGTATGTACTGTCAGTTCTGCTCCTTATTCATTCATCTCCCAACTTTACTGAGCAGGAGAGTGTAGCAAATATTGAATATGGATCAATAGATCACTCCCCAGGATGCATACTGTCAGCCAACTGAGCCCTCAGGCAGATGCCAAGCCTCTGGTCACATTTGCATTTGGAGATAGAAAATAACTAGTGCTTGTCAGAAAGTGGGGAAACTGTGTGGTCTCTACACTTTTTTTCAAAAATGGCAAATAGAAGCTGAAGAATTTTCTGTTTTAGTGACTATGTGCTTTTACAGTATCCGCTCTGCCTGTATCCATTTCTGTGTGCACGCCTACTTGGCTGTGCCTTTTTTATGTGCCTTTATGGCATGTGTGTGAGTGCCTACATGCATACATATGTGCACACATGCACATGTAATTTACATGTGGGCTCTGACACATTGGTGACACACTCAGGGGCTCCCTGCATTTAAATTATTATTGCAAAGACAGGAGGACAATTTAGAGAAGGAGGTTTTTAGAGCCCTATGAAATATTAACTAAGCCGATGAATATATAAGCTGTGAAGCGATAATATCTGTCTCTGATGCTGTTTCCTTGTGATATATGATATCATGTTCTTGTATGTGCAATATTATCCTCTGCTGTGTTAAATGTGTCAACACAAATAAACTGCTCGATCATTTATTTTGAATATACAACATAGAATTTCCTCCCACAAAATATTGTTTCATCATTGTTTTTTTAAATCACTATAAATTTCCTTTCTTGTGCTTGACTCTGATATTTGTCTTTCTCTTGTGTGACCTTCAGGTGCCTGAGCTGTGGTGTTATATAAAAGCATTACGGGAAGGATTGAATCCCAGAGAGCGGCTGGTAGCATTGCGGGTGGAACACGGCTCTTTGTTAACACAGACCAACCTCACTACGAGCAAATCTGGAGAAAATGATAGAACACAGGAGATTTTTCAAGATGCATTAAATGTTTCTTAATTATAATTTAAATGAAAAAGAGTAAATTAGAAAGACATTACATTAATTTTGAAAAGAGAAATAGACTTTGGTGCTTAGACCCCATATAATGCCATGGAAGCAATCCTATGAATTAGATGCTGTGGATATAAAGGAGACCCTCCCCCCTGGAGGTGGGTCACTCGTTGATCTCGGTAAATGACAGGAGGGACAGAGAACATTTTAAATGCTCACAGCTTACAAGTGATTGGCTCAAGGCAAGTGTGTCAGTTTGTGACTAGCTGAAAACAGATTATGATTTGGTGGAATGTAGAGATAGCAGGAACATTGAATGTGACTTAGGTGGCATGTGTGAGAAGACAGGCCTTGAGCTTTAGCATTAAGGCAGTTCTGTTCATACATCTCAAAAATGTCTCTAATGTTATTGCTCACAAAAGTAAAAGCATAAGTCACAACATAACGTTACTTTCTGACTTTGTAGTGGCATGATAATGACAGCATTCCAACCATATGATCATTACGTTGCTGTTGTGTCCAATAGGATCCAGTGATACCACAAAAAATGCATTTTTGAACTATGCACAACTTCATTTGATTGTGGCTTCATCGTGTAACATATGATGGGGAATTGATTATCTAATCAATATAAACTTCAGATTGTCTCTCTAGGCAAGGCTAGGCAAATTTATTTGTGTGGGTCATCCAATGTGCAGAAATACAGGAAGGCTAACAGTGCAGATCTGGAGCAAAGAGTAAATCATCAAAACAGTCCAGTTTCTTGTGGAGATGTCTTAGAAAATGAGTTTGTAGAACTTTTTTGTTGACCTTAACCTTTGACCAATCAGCTCCAAAAGTTAATCATCTGGCGATACTCTACCAAATAATATTCCCACCAGGTTTGTTAAAAAAATGTTTCCATACAATGTTGAGTTATTTAACACACACAAGCACACATACACATACTCTAAAGTTCTAACT